ACCCTCTGGGTCCGACCACGGAGCCAATTCCCCAGCCAGTGGATTGTGGTGGGGCTGAGGCCGCAGTTGGCCAGTTTTGCTAAGAGGTGATCATGGGATCCCAGATTGAAGGCTTTTTTTAAAGTCAAGATATATGACATCAATCTGTTCTCCCTTGTCCAGGTGATAGGTCAACTGGTCATAAAAGGAAATGAGATTAGTCAGGCAAGACCTACCCGCAACAAACCCGTGCTGGCTGTCCCTCAGGATGTTGCCGTCAGCCAGTCTGTTGAGAACAGCCTCTTTGCTAATGTTTTCTAGGATCTTCCCTGGGATAGAGGTCAGGCTGATGGGCCTGTAGTTTGCTGGATCCACTTTCCTCCCTTTCTTGAAGATAGGCACCACATTGGCCTTCTTCCAATCTTCGGGCACTTCACCAGAGCGCCAGGAGTTCTCGAAGATCTATGCCGGGGGCTGAGCTATGATGCTAGCCAGCTCCTTGAGTACCCTGGGTGTAGACTATAAGGGCCAGCTGACTTGAAGGTGTCCAGCCTCTCAAGGTGTTCCTTCACAAGGTCAGCATTGATGGAGGGAAAGGAATCTCCCTCTCCCGGGCCTCCCTGCCCCATAGTGGGCAGGGGCATCCCATGGGACTGGTGAAAAACTGACTGAAAGTACTTCCAGTCCACTTCGGGGTTCACCACTGAGCACATGGAGGGGCCCCCCCGCGCTCCTCTGGGACACTCCATCCACCCCAGCATTGAGCATTCATGAGCTGCGCTGGTACCTGGAGGTATGTAGAAAAAACTTTTAAAGCTGTGTCTGTGTCCAAATCACTGATTCTCCAAATCAGCAGTGAATCTTCAGATTTGGATTCAGCTGAATCAAATCGGGGACAGTGATCTGAATCAACAAATCAAATCACTGTTCCTGATTCGGGCCGAATCCCCATCGAATAGGGCCCACTTCGCACAACCCTACTGAGCACCCACAAGTCCATGGAACTTTTGAAAGTCAATCCGACAGTGTTAAGTTCAGCCCTCAAAAATGGAAGCCTCCTAAATAAACAGTCCCTTAAAAATGTTCTGTGATGTCTTCAGGGTGTTGTTTCTTCAGAAGTTGGTGGCAGAACCAAGACATCTGGGAGCTTGAGCTCCTGGCTCCCATGCTTGTTTTACAAACTCTCCAATTCATGTCTATTTTTTTTTAACTACTGTCATTACTTCTGTAAAGTTAGAACGTGCCACATTTACTATTCTGAACATCAGAAACTAAAAACAGACTATGGAAAAGTACTTACAAAGCCCAGTCTACTGCAATGATCAGGGTGATTTCATCAGTTGGAAGGCCAACAGAGGTCAGTACAATGACCATTGTAATGAGTCCCGATTGGGGGATTCCTGCGGCACCTATGCTCGCTGCTGTTGCTGTTATGCTGCAAAAATAAAGGGCCACAGCGCCATCGTCATTTAAAGCTCTCAACTGGTTTTAAATGTATGGCAAGGTAAATGTTAATCATAGTTAAAGATCAGTGCATTTGTCACTCAGCCACCATCTAGGACAGAGGTGGGCAAAATACGGGCCCCTAAAAAATTTAGAAAATGAATATTTATCTGCCCCGACTGCCTGTCATGCGGCCCTCGATAGCTTGCCAAAACTCAGTGAGTGGCCTTCCGCCCAAAATAATTGCCCACCCCTGATCTAGGAGATCTGAATGGTGACTTGGAGCGATTTGTTGGCCAGGCAGGGTTTCCCCAGGGAAATCAGTAACATTGCAGTTTGGGGACTGTAGCAAGGGATAAGGTTCAGTGTTTGCCAAGGACCAGCGTCTCCCACTTATCTGCCTACCTCAACTAGTCAGTTCTCCTTTTAGGTTATAGAGATATTTTTGCTTTTGTGTGATTTTCCCCCCCGCTCCTTTTCCTACAGGAAAGTTCCTTTGTGCTGGTTAGAGCTGAAGAAAAAAGTTATAATTAAGCAGAGTTTTAGTAAATATTTTGCTATGGATGATATCAGTGGGATATTTTGCTGTTGAGAGAGCATATGCCTACATATTGCCTTCTGTTACAGGCAAGTATCAGAACATTTATGTAGCTCTCAGCTAATAAACCTCTGCCTTGAATGAAAAAGTCTGCATTTTTGGAATAGAAGGTCAAGTTACTGTGGGCAGGCATGGTTGCAACCAGAGCCCCGTTATAATGTGATTTACAAGGCAGTTTGAAAGAGAATAAAAACCTTTCCTCTTGCCTTTCATATGGCTTGGGTTTAGTTTGACAGCTAGAGTGAATTCTGAAGTCTCTTTTTAAAAGAGCCTGGTTATTCATGCAGAGAATGAGAGAGTTGCAGAACACAAGTCACATCTGGATATTAATGGCCCCGTTATGTGGTCTGAGACCAAGAGGACTCAGTTCCATTCCCCTCACTGCCACAGACTGCTTTAGATGCATTGCTAGTGCCAGTGTCTGGCAAGAAACTTCTCTCTTTCCCAATTTTTGGTTGCCCATCTTTGAGATGCCTGGTGTTTCTGGGTGAGCAGGTCTTCCCCAGATGAGTAGCTGCTTTTGAGAAACTGGGCCTAAATCTGTACCTCAGTTCCATATTTGTAAATAAGGTGACATGCGCCTCATAGAATTGTGCAGCAGATGAATTAATTGAGTTGTGCACGTACACTTTGATAATTAGCACATCTAGGCCCAGGTTGGATAGTACAGAAGAAATAATCATGGAGTTGAATGAGGGTATGCAGATGCTGAATAGAGAATATAGCTGCCTCATTCCCTGAACAGCAATGAACCTCTCCACTGAATGATTTAATTGCTGAAGAAGAGCAAATGATCAGGTTACTGAAGAATCTTTATGCCATATGCACAAAGGGTGGCATTAAGGTTGTATGACACACAACGAAGTCCAATCAGTACGGGGTTTCTTGTGCTTTTCTTTTAGTATAAATTATATTTGTCACTTCTCTAATTGTCCAAATTTAAAATGTGGCACAGGATTTTATACTGACATTTCCTAGCTCTATTTTATAAATTGTCAGAGGAGAACTGGAGATTTTAGGAACTGCTTATGGGATATTTAGGACACTTAGGCCCAGGTAAAGACATGAGTGTTTGGTACTGTAGCATAAGCACACTAGCTGGATATAGTTATGCTGAATTGATCAGCAGTGAAATACCAGTCTTGATACTTAAAATGCTGTTCATCAGGTTGCATTGAGAAGTCTGGGATATGTCTCACCTTTTCCATGAGGTTTTGTTCCAGCTGTCTGCAAACTTGGGAGGTAACACTGCATCAGGTTAAACGTATTTATTTTAATGAAAATTTAGCCAGGACTTCAACAGCTTTTGTGCTGGTATAACAATTTTGGGTAGAGGTATGGTATCTTCATGCAAATGTTTATGCCAGTACAAAGGGATTTCACATTAAGTTTGTTCCCTTTCCAGAACAGAAATGTGCTGCACCAAAATAACCATCAACACTACAGGAGAAAACAGGACAGATTTTCTGTAAATAAAAAAAAAAAAAAAAGGAAGAGTTTCATTTACCTTATAGTTATAATTTGTCCCAAGTCCAAGTCGTAATCATTAACCTGAGCAATGAAGATAGCAGCAACAGCTTCATACAGGGCAGTGCCATCCATATTGATGGTTGCACCAACAGGAAGAACAAATCGTGCCACTCTTCTGTCTATCCCATTGTTTTCCAAAAGACACTTAAGGGTGATGGGGAGGGTTGCTGAGCTGCATTGCAAAGAAATAGAAATGAAGAGCATACATTTATCTCCAATATCACTTTTTGCACTGAACACTGCAGATGTCTGCTAAGGATTTTGCAAAGAAGGTGTGGGAGCATTTTAACCCCCTACTCCCAGCCTCTTCCCCCACCACGTGGGCTGGCAAACTGAATCACAGGTGCCATTGGGGACTGTTTAAATGCTCCGAATCAAGTAAGATTTTCCCTCTTCCCCTCTCTGCTCAGAAGCATGTCCCTTTCCCTCTCCTTCATTGGCTGCTGCTGCTGTCCCCGCTGTCCCAGGAGCAAGGCAGCTCCTGTACTACTCCAGCTATGCTGCATGGGGCCCTGGGCTCAGCCTGGGACAGCGGCAGTAGTGGGGATGTGCCACACACCATTCTTGTTGTAAGCCTTCTCTTGGTACACCGGCACGGTCCCATTTACCTTCCTCAGGGTAACCAACCTTGAGGCAAGGGAATGTTGCAGCAGGCCTGCTCTGCTGGAGTGATCCACCTAGAGAAAGCTACTTCTGGCATTCAGGGGGACTTGAAAAGCCTGGGACATCTGGCCATTTGAGAATGACCATTGCAAGCCTGCAAGTTGCCTCCTACTAAGAGCTTCTACTTAGAGCTTCATTCAGTTGAATCAGTCCACAGCAATAGTCTGTAATGAGTTGAAGACTGAGTGGCTTTGACTAAAGAGAAGAGTGCCTAATGCTATTTCCCCTACAACCTTCAGGGATAGTCTCTCTTACAAGCGCCGAGAAGAGGGCCCAAGTTGATTTGAGAAAGGCCAACAGCAGTGTGCAGTTTGGCAGTTTCTGCATTTAAGTCACAGAATCAGAAATGATCCTATCCAGGGCAGGCATGCAAAATCCTGCTTGGAGGCAAAGAAACTTGATGCCCCCTTGGTTTTCACAGCCACCAGCTGATTGCTCCATGATGGGACCTTTTGTTAATTTGGAGTAAGTTAATTGTTCCCAGAATGCCTCATTTCTAAGGGTGCAGTTTTAATTGCTTCTGTGGTGAGAGGGCTGAGGTTTCTTCTTCTCTGTCTTTTCTACCTTGGTGATTTTCCTGCATCAAGCAGCACTCCCTCTGCCTTTGAATTGGATATTAACATTTCAGAACTGTTGTGTTAAGGAACCCATTGCTTTACAATCAATGTAGTGAGAGGGGTTTTTTACTTAGCCAGAGAGAGCTTTGTGCCCTGGCTATATAAACAAGCACTCACTCTTTGTCAGAAAAATTTAGGCAGCTATTCATTTGCTTTGAAGCCTATAGCAAGGGCAAGGTAGCATGCAAAATTGGCCCCTGTCTGGCTAAAGGACTGTATCCTATCATTGTGCTGCTGTGCCTAAGCTCCTTCTCCGAAAGCTGCCATCTAAATAAATGTTTGCTGATGAGGGACAGAAAAAATGCTGCTGTCCTTCAAATCAATGCATTTTGGGGGTAAGCTATTGCTTTGCTGCTCTCAATGAGATTCCAAGTTTGTCTTGTGTAAATTTTTCAGTTTTGCCCGACTCCAGGTCAGATTAAAAGGGTAAAACGTGTACTGTTGTCAAATGGGATCAGTTTGCATTTGGTCCTTCTAGAAATCTCTCGAGGTGACTGAACGTGTGTGGTGTGGAGGGGAGGCTTCCTTACATTTGCTTCTTTCTTCATTCCTGTTTATGACGCCTGCAATCCCAAACCATGGAAAGACTCTAATCGTCACAGCGAGCTGTGCCAAGACAATTGCTGTGCTGTGGTCTCATTCAGAATGATTGGATTACTTTAATAATGGGAAAAGCATCTTCTCTTGGAGCTCAAATTTCTAAAGGCGTTTGCATAATCATTTTTCTTTTACATTCAGATCTTGAAAAGAACACCTGATTTCACTACTTAGGAAACAACAGTGGGTTAAACTCCGGTTTAAAACATTTATATGTAGCCTAGGTTTCTATAATTAAACCAGCTGTAATTTTGGAACGTTTGGGAAATACCTGGATGATGTAGCCAAGGCAATCAGCAAGGCTTGCAGGATCCCGCGGATGAAAACAAAGGGATTTTTTCTGGTAACGATTATGAAAAGCAAAGGCAAGAGGACAAGTCCATGAATCACTAGCCCTGATACCACTGTTATGGCATACAGTCCCAATTTCTTTCCAATCACAGATGGATCTTCCATCTCCAAGATCTTTCCAGCAATGAGAAAAACAATGCCAAATGGAAAGTACCTGTAAGTAATCATAGGAAATATTCACCCATTTGGAACAGAGCCTGATATAGAAAGGATGACCTTTCATCCAGAGAAGAATTTTTTTTTTTTCAAAGACGCTAGTTATCCTGAATGAGGCATTTGAGAAACCTGACTTAACACATGCCATTCCAAAGGGCCAGGACAGTGTTAAAAATTACAACAAATGGAAAATGAAAATTTTGGACTATTCTTATGGGGGATCAAGGGGAAATGAGATCATCAATAACCTTTTTATATACTTAAGAAGTTTCAGGGGAATTTTAAACAGTGCACGTCAGTGCTTGAAAGCTTTAGAAAGCAGGCACCAGCCTCAAAGAAGCATTTTAGTTGCCAAGCTAGATATTACAAAACTCGCTTACTCTTGCTCTATGTATATGTGTATGTAATATATATTACATACAAAAAGTTATGTAAAGTTGTACAAGGTCAAATTCTCAAAGTTAGAAAAGGCCAGACTTGATTGCCTGCACCACCTCATTGTAGCCTCTGTATGCATGTACCTTAAGATGCAGTCTCTGATTGCATGGTCATTAGGGCTGTGACAAGCTTTGGTCCCTGATTCAATTGGGCGGAGATTTGGCCCGATTCGGTGGCTGAATCTCCAAATCCGAATTGAATCGGAGGATCCTTTAACCTCTCCAAATCGAATCGGAACTCTCCGAATCGATTCGGAGAGATTCAGAAAGATTTGGTGATTTGGACATAGAGACAGATTTAAATGTTTTTTCTACATACCTCTAGGTAGCAGGGGCTCATGAGCGCTGCGATGCTGGGATGTATGGAGTGTCCCACAGAAGCGCAGGGGGCTCCCCACTGCACTCAGCAGCAGACCCAGAAGTGGACCAGAAGCACTTCCAGTCCTCTTCTGGGTCCGCCAGGGAGTGCGCTGGACCCCCTGCATCCTCCAGCTCAGCAACTTGTGCCGCCTGAGTCTGGGGGGGCACCCAGGGTCCCCCTGTGACCAGTTGCCGAGCTGGGGGTCCAGTGTGTTCCCCGACAGACCCGGAAGTGGACTGGAAGTACTTCTGGTCCACTTCCGGGTTCGCCACTGAGCACACAGGGGCCCCCCCCCCCCCACTCCTGTGGGACATTCGGTGCACCCTAGCATTGCAGTGATCATAAGCCGCACTGGTACCTGGAGGTATGTAGAAAAAACTTTTAAAGCTGTGTCGATGTCCTATCACTGATTCACTGAATCAGCATCAAATCTTCAGATTCAGCTGAATTGAATCAGGACAGTGATCTGAATCAACTAATTGAATCACTGTCCCTGATTTCAGGCCGAATTCAAATCCGAATCAAATAGGGCCTATTTTGCACACCCCTAATGGTCACATATCCCTTTTTTTCCCCGTAGGACTTGGTTTTATTTGACATGTAGGACTTGTAGAGAGAACCAGTAGGCTGAGTTCTTGTTCAGAAACTTGAAGAGTACAAAGACACGATCTCGGAGTTCACTGACCGTGCTCTGTGAGGCAAGAAACATAGGCAACTAAGGATGGTTTCGTTGGGAACAATCCTGCCTTGAACAGGGGCTGTAGTGGACAACCTCTTAATATCTCTTCTAGCCCTACTTTCCTGTAATCCTATGAACGGGGCTGAAGATTTTCTAACCTCTTCTTTTATAGTTGATTGTAGAAGAGGGGATGTTTTAGCATCCTGAACTTGAAATTCCTGGCGTTTCTTTTCTGTAGGAATATGACTGATATTGCACTCTGCAGATAAGAAAAGACATTTACTTACCAAACAGCCATGGAGACGATCCTCATCACTGCTTCATTGAGGCACTGGCACACATTGACTAATGGAATGCCTCGCTCACCCATCTTCCCCAAAAGGAGACCTGTAATCAAGCATGTCATCTCAAGTTATTAAACAGTTGCAACGTGTTGACATGTGATATGCAAAGGACTTCAGGCCTTTGTGGCCATGGTATGGGGCTCAACACACACTTCCAGAAGATCCAACTTTCACTGAAATAAACTACATCTTTTTTATTATTATTTCTATTGCACTAGTTCCTGGGCTCCTCCATGAACAGAACCTCATTGCACTTGGCACTGTACACAACAGAGCTATAGATAATTTGAGTTATCTACTAGGCTTGTGCAAAGCGGCTAGTATTTGCTTCAGATTTGGCTGATGCAGGGGACAGTGATTCGATTTGGTGATTTGAATCACTGTCCCAATTCGATTTAGCCAAATTTCCAAATCGGCCAGGCCAGGCCCATTGCCTGCCCCATCTCCCGGCTCTCTTTAAAAAAAGCAAGCCCCGGATCACCAGGTCCTACAGGCGGGGGGCAATCCCCACTGCCCCACACTGCATGGGGAGCCCCTCATGGGTCAGCTCCAGCAATTTAAGAAAAAAAACCAAAAACAAAACCCCCCTAGGACTCTCTGCTCCTGCTGGCGGCGGGGTGATCCCAGCTGCCCCGTGCCACATGGGGGGGCTTTGCATGAGTCCCCAAAGCCCTGAGGCTGTACCAGTGAGTCCTGGGGCTTTTCTTGGATTTTTTTTCTTAAGAGGCCAGAGTTGGCCCGCGCAGGGCACTCGTGGGGGGCTGGAGGAGGTGTGGGGGTCAGGGGGCTCGTGGCAGAGGCCCCCAATGGGCTGGGTGAGCAGGTGGGAGTCAGGGGGCTGGGGAAGCAGGGGGGGTCAGGGGAGTGGCAGGGGTCCCCCCATGGTCCCCTACCCCAGCCCCTCCTTCCCTGCCCCTAGTACTTACCAGCTCAGAGTGGGTGCAGCTCCCTGCTGCAGCCACCGGGGACTGCCTGAATCATCAAAGCTCTCCGAATCTTTTCTGGAGATTCGGAGAGCTTTGAATCGATTCGGACCTTTAGATTGGTCCCCTGATTCAATTCGGATTTGGAGATTCGGCCACCAAATCAGGCCTATTATCTACACTTGGAATAACTCCTCTTGCCTTCACTTTTCCTGAGTGAGATTGGCCACACTGCAAACAGTATTTGAGCTGCAGTAGAGCACCCCAACATGCACCCCACCTGTGGCCCCCGCTGCACTCAAGTTGGACAGCCCGGGGTTAAAGCACCACCCAACTTGAGCTAGGGATTGTTGTGAGAGAACAGTGATCAGCCTAGGGGCAACACTGACACTAGAACCTGAGTTAACAGCACCCCAGCAAAGAAAGACCAGAGTAGATAAAGTAATCAAAATGCTTGGGGGAGGATGTTATGCACTGTGGAGAGGGTCAAATTAGTTGACCTAGTTTGGCCATCATCTCTCCCATTAGGGCCATGTGACCTTCCCCAATAAACCAGCTCCATGATTGAAACCCTTCTGAGCAGCAGTTGATGGGCATGCCTCCCACCTCCGATAACAAACTGGTAACCTCTAGGCAGTATTTCAACACTTTCTACATTGCAACTCCTTTTACAGTGGGAGCACTTTTGTGCCACCACGCTTAGGCACTGTTCATGTACATGCAGTTCAGAGAGGGGCAGGGGCCTGCAGCATGTCCTGTGGACCAAAGATGACATCCCTGTGTCCTTCACCCACAGTGAGAGCTAAGTTGGGACAGGCTACTGGAGAAAATGAAACCTGGGGCAACTGGAACTGGACAGAATGAAACCTGGGGCAACTTGGCTCTTACTTGTCATGAGGCATCTGGGGGACAGGGACAGTTACCGCAGGGCAGCTGAGGTGTGGTAAAGCCCTGACTCCTTTTAATTATGAGCACAGGGGTTGATTACAGGTTTGGAGCATGAAGGGCTCTGGGACTTGCGACCCCTACTTCTAACTACTATGGCCCGACTTGGGATTATGACCCCTAGCTTAGGACCCAGTTTTCTAGAGCAGTGATTTTCAACCTGTGGTCTACAGACCCCTGGGGGACCACTGACTATGTCTAAGGGATCCACAAAAGATGACTGTGACCAATCAAAAGTATGTGAATACTAGGCCTGTGTGAAGCAGCTAGTATTCACTTTGGATTCAGATTCGGCCGATTTGGGGGACAGTGATTCAATTCAGTGATTCGAATCACTGTCCTGATTCGATTCAGCTGAATCTGATTCGGAGATGCAGCAGCAGCCAAATCTCTGAATCAGCCAGGCTCATCCCCTGCCCCTCTCCCAGCCCACCCCAGCTCTGGCAATTGTTAAAAAACCCCCTGATTTAGCAGGTGCTGCCAGGTGGGGGGTGATCCCCGCTGCCCCCCACTACCCCGCACTGTGTGGGTGGCTCTGCATGAGCCCCCTGACACCCCCCCCCCA